CACCAGGTCTTTTCTCCCTCAGAGCAGCTGGGGGGTTCAATCATCGACCTTCTAGTTATCAGCAGAGTGATTAACCACTGTGCCACCATGGGTCCTTCATCTTGGTCTAGGGGAACACATTACCGCAGAAAGCTTGCAAACTCAAAGGCCCTTCCACCACCGCCTTTCCAAGCTCCTTTCCACCCCTCCTCAGGACCTGGTCTTCCTCACCCAACATCCACCCCACTCGGAAAAGCCCGCCCTCCAGAGACCTGCCACTCAGCCATCTCCTCACCTCCTTGATCCAGTCATCAAAGGCTGACACTCGGGTGAATACTGTGGGCTTCTTGAGGGTGTTGCAGCCAAAAGCAGAAACAAAGCTGGTCACACCATGGACCTGCCAGCTTCCATCTTTAGCGGGGCAGTTGAGGGGTCCTCCAGAGTCACCCTGCAATGGTCAGACAGGGGTGAGGGGCTAAGAGGTTTAAAGAATTAGTTCTCAATTTTGGAGATTTCAAGAAACCTCCCTATTGATTCTCAGTGCCTTAGTTTGCCCATTTGTGATGGGAAATAACAACACTTGTCTTATAGGATCTTGTGAGAATGGAACAAGATGACAGAAGAAGGCTCTTAGCACACCTAGTAGAGAGGAAGCTCTCAATAAATGTGTGGTAGTTAAGATTATGTGTCAACTTGGCTGGGCCTGGTTTTGAGTGGCTGGGCAGTTGGGTGCAGTTATTCCCCATGATAAGACTGGTAATTGACTCCATGGTGGAATCTACTGTGAGCAGCTGAGTAGCTGCCTTAGGGATGTGATCTGCTTCCAGTAGATAAGAAGAAGCACTGAGAAAGGTCTTGGCACTTTTGGTACATGTGGATCTTGCATTTGGCTGAGTCTTCATCTCAATGGCCTACCATGTTGTCTGCTGATCTTGGGACTGTTAATGGACTTGAGTTAGTGACCTGCTTGATAATTTTGGGACCATCATTTTACTTATTGACCTTGGGCTTTGTCAGCTTCAGCAGCCAGCAGCTGTCTAAGAGAAGCCTCCAGCTTCAGTGGGTCAGGAGCAAGAGGCAGAGCTAAAGCTCAAGGTCAAGGGGCTTTCACCCAGCCCCTAGAGCTGACACTTTGAACTTGAACTGCTAGCATCCTATACTGTAAGAGAATAACTCCCTGTTTATTAAAACCATCCACTTGTGGTATTCTCTGTTAAGTGATACTAGAGAACCAAAACAAAATGGTAGTTGCCATTATTAGTAGCATAATTAATTATTAATATTATTGTTCATTAAAAAAAAATAATAATCCATTGCTGTTGAGTTGATTCTGACCCATAACAACTCTATAGGAGTGAGTAGAACTGCCCCATAGGGTTTCCAAGGCAGTAGAGGTGCTCTGGTGGCACAGTGCCTAAGATACTTGGCTGTTAACCAGAAGGTTGGCAGTTCAAACCCACCACTCCATGGAAGGAAGACTGGGTAATCTACTTCCATAAAGATTTACTGCCTCAGAAACTGAGTGACAGTGGGTTTGGTGTTTTTGGTTTTAAAACTTTACAGAGGCAGACTGCCACATCTTTCTCCTGTGGAATGGCTGGTGGGTTCAAACGATTAACCTTTCAGTTAGAAGCTGAGCATTTAATCACTGTGCCACCAGAAGTCTTTATTGTACATACTCACTTAAGATAAAGTGATAGTATCCTTAACATTTAATTGTAACTTCAAAACCATGGTGCTGAGGGTGACTTCAGGGGTCATGGTGTCAAGACCTATTGCTGTGTTGATAGGAAGTCTGATGACCAGGAAGAGACAGTGACTTACTCCAAAGTCAAGTCAGTGTTCAAGCTGGACACTGAGTTCCTGGGACCAGGGATCCTGACTTACAGGCCAAGGCCCTATCCCTGGACTCCACCAGCTTTCTCTAAGTCCTATGAGGTCTGGAAGCTGAACAAGGTGAGCAGACAAGATAACACCTCCACCTTCTGGCAGATGTTAGAAGTACCCAGGCCCTGGACACCCTGCTAGGTGGCCATACCCCAGGACCACATGGGCTGAGAAGAGCTGACTCACATTGCAGCCAGAGCGGATGTCCCCACCAGCGCACACCATGCTCTGCTTCACGGTGCTGCCCCACCAGTCCCACTTAGAACACTGATCATAGTCCACCACAGGCAGCAGGGCCTGCTGCAGCTTGTCCGGGAGTGGTCCACCAGCTGTGGGGACAGGGAGCACTGAGTGAGAGCCTATCTAGGTGCAAGGTCTGGGAGCTCTGAGTTGGGGTGTAGTCCCCAGGCAAGAAGCTCCTCTGGCCTAGTGGCAATTCTCCCACCATTATATAGGCCTGCCTGCCTTGTGTACCATAACATCCCCAGCATCTAGGGGTTGTGATGGAGACCACATGATCCAGCATATAGGTGGTGGTTATTGTTAGTTGTCATTGAGTTGATTCTGACTCATAGTGACTCCATATGTGTCAGAGTAGAACTGCTCCATAGAGTTTTCAAGGCTGTGACTTTTGGAAGCAGATTACCAGGCCTTCTGAGGTGCCTCTGGATGGGTTTGAACCATCAACTTTTAGGCTAATAATCAAGTACTTAACCATGTGCACTACTCAAGGACTTCTAGCATATAGCAGACACTAACAAATGTTCAATTGAACATGTTTGGTGGGATGTAGGAGATGGTGGAGGAAGCTGTGCTGGGGGTAGAACAGGAGAAAAGTGCAAGGACTGGTCCTATGCTTGCCCTCAACCCACAGCCTGCAAGCCCTGTTTCCCTGCCTATTATCCCTGCTGCTGGCTAGAAGAGTCAGTACGTACTATAGAGGCGGCCCCAGCCACTGATGTAGCAGGGTGCTCCATTGAGCAAGATGTCACCGGCGGGAGGGAGGCAGGCCAGCTGGACTGTGTCTCCCACCTGGGTGCTGCGGGACAGCTTGATGAGGGCAATGTCATTGCTGTGGAGGAGAGAAGAGTCATGGGGCTCCTGGTCTTCCCACCAGACCCAATCTCACCCCCAGCCTTTGTTCCAGTCATGTTCATCCTGAGGAAGCTCCACCACCCTTTGCCCCACCAAATCCCATCCATTTTCAAGACTGAGCAACTTTTGGAAGCCCTCCAGGCCAGTCTGCCCACAATGATGCTTGGCCTTCACAGTTGTCCTCAGCCTTTTGGGTTCTCACACTTTACCTGCATCAGAATCACCTGGGAGGCTTTAGTGCATGTGACTGGGCTCTATCCCAGCCCTACCCTGGGGGAAGCTGGCCCACATCAATCCTTATAGTCCCTCACTCCTTTGGGGGGTTCTGCACCCTTCCCTGAGCCTCTCACCAGAATAGCACTGAGCTACACAGGCACACAATTTTACATACAGTTGAGGGGCTTACATAGCCAGCCTTAAGGTTCTTACCCAGTGATTATCTCTTTGACATTTACAACTACCCAGGAAGCCCAGCTTCATGGTCACCCTTTGACAGATGGTAAAACTGAGGCTCAGAGAATGAGGCAAGGTAATGCCGGAGGCTGTCTCAGTCTGGTGCTCTTACTTTGCCCATGGTGCTGAGAGCCCAGGATGCAGTACAGTAATTCTATTAAGTGAAGGAAATTTAAATTTGGTATGGGGGAGGGGAGGGAAAGCCAAGTGGCTTTGGAGGAGTCTCTGCCCCTCTCTGGGCTCTGCTGTCCCTTCCGTAAGAAGTTTGGCATAGAGAGTCCTTAAGGCTCTGATCTTTCTGACGCTCAGTGTGTGAGGCCTGGGCATGAGCTGTTGGACTTACCTGCGCCTTTTCTGAGAGTCTCCCCAGAAGTGGCTCTGGGTTGTAGAGGGTTGAGTAGAGGAGGCCCTGAATCTCAGGACTGAGAATCACTCACCCACATGCCACACATTTGGGGTTCCAGAGTGGGTGCACAAAGAGGTCTCCAGCATTGATGGGGATCACCTGTTCAGGACCCTCCTTCTCAGCCCGATCATACTCTCCCAACACCACCTGGTAGGTCAGGGAGTTCCTGCAAGTAGAGGTGGAATCAGTCTGGGCCTGACCAGTCTCTTTCCCTTCCCCTAGTTACCCTCTGCCCCAGCCTTCCTAGGTCTCACACAGGGACAGGGGCAGGTAAGAGAACTCACGAGATGCAGTGGCCTGCAGTCATGACCCAGTTGGGGGCGATGAGGCTGCCTCCGCAGGTGTGGTGGAAGGCCCCATCCTTTTCATACTGCAGGGAGACCTGGTGGACAAAGAGGGAAAGCTCTGAGTGGTCTGAGCCCCACGGTGAGAACCACCACCAATGGTGGTATCAGTTACACAGAAAACAGTGGCATCCTCTAGAAATGTGCAGTGCCTAACCTGCACAATTGCTCATGGTAGCCATCACTTTTCCCCTGGGATCACACTCTGACTCTCCAAGGCCCCCACAACCCTTAAACTTTGTGGAGAAAAAAAAAAAAAAAAAAAAAAA